GTATAAGGTAGAGATTTTCAAACTAGGATGATAAACATGCCGTTAGCCAACTTTATTTTGAAAGTTGTGACTTATAAATATCCTAAGACAATTAGTGTCCCTCCGAAATCTCGTACACCTCTTCCATCGGGCTAGAGCACAAGGTGAAGCAAGGACTCTGCATGTCGAGGTTGAAATCGGTCGAGTGAATGAGCTAAAGAATAAACGTTAGCTTACGAATATGTTTCGAAAAGAAACCTTCAAGAAAGCACTATACTGCCATTAGCAACGAAAACTTACGAATATAATTTATTTTCGAGGATTATGAATGAAACTCACCGATAAAGCGGGCAGCAACTAGTTCCAGACGAGCCAACTGCGGTGCTCTAGCCAAGGCATAGAATAGTCGCATGAACCGCATGGACCGTTGAAGCCCAACACAGTTGTTCATCACAAAAGACTGTAGTTTGGGTGCCGTAAAGTTAACAAATGGATCAGCAACGGTAAAGTGGACCTGAAAGTTTGGAGATGCACGACAGTGGAAAATGATTTGGTTGAAGGTAAAAACCGATCTTGGAGAAAAATACTTCCTACTTTGCTATCAATGAAAACAGATTAGAGGGTTGAAAAACAAAGTGAGCATGGGCATTATCATAGGCATAGTAACGCGTATCATTTATCGTAACATTAGGGCCGCCTTAAATTAAGAAGGCACTTAAAATTTCAATTCAACATCACAAATAAGCTGTAGGCCTACATTGACGCATATCACAAGCATAATGATATTAAGGTTTATAGCTTTGCATCATTAAGTCAATAGAATAAAATTTGATAAAGACGACTTGGGGGACCATGAATCACAAGATAAAAATACAAGATGACATCTAATCGATCATTGTAGCAGATCAGTAAGTTTCGCAAAACTAAAACTCATCTAGGGTAATGGTGGCATATAATGGAAATAATTGAAATAAATAATTAAATAGAGTTAAAATGAGCTTGTAAATGAAGTGAGAGCAAGGGACAAGAGATTCAAACTAACTCCGAAACTATTAAGGTACATTTTTATTATAAATAATATCTAAGCAAGGATACAAAGAAACTAATAAGACCTCGTATGACCAGCCTTATAGGGATATAAATTAAGCATATAATAATGCCTCGTCTAGATTAATTACAGAATATTATCGAAAGGTTCAGTCTAAAAAAGACGGTACAGCGAGGGCTTAATTTGAGTTAAAACGATAGTAAAGAAAAGCACTCTTACAATAAAAGCGAACGTACCCATTTAAGGTGCAAATATTTGATGTTATCTAGACGCGGAATCGAGTTTATTGCAATGCATACTAAATCTAGCTTAGTCAGATTGGTGATTGATTGAGGAAGACTAATCCAATGATAGAGGCTGGGAAGAGGAGAGACCAGACCGGATCCAGAGATAGCTACAGCCGCCCGCGAGGCATCCGAATGGTGGTTGTGATGTTGAGCTTGTCCCTGGTGTTGATTGTGCTGAATATAATGATGGTTCAGATATTGTTCATGCTGTTGGTTATGGTGATGGTGATGATGCGGATTTTGCACCATGTGCACAGCAGCTGCGGCAGGCAAATTTCGCACTATATTGGCATGCTGCTGGAGGGCTTGTGGCCTAACTTGTAGCTGAGGCAATTGGCCGGGAACAGGAGCCAAAGGCCCTGCGAGGTTCTGACCAAGTCCGCCAGCTATCGCAAGGGCCGGTTGGGCAGGAAGTGGAGGAGAAGCACCTCGACGGCGCCCTCCGCCCTGTGCATGAGGCAGCTCAGCGACTCCAGCCTGTATGGGACCGACTTGGCGTCTGGGCGGCAGAACACCTGCGGCCATTCCGAGCTGGAGAGGCGCCGGTCGGACAGGAGGGAAGAAAGCAAGTGCGGCCACAGGCCCTGCGATTGGGTTGACCGGAAGCTGAGCATGGACAGGAGCAGCGCCGGGACCCGGGAAGACTGGCGGAGGGGCCAGTTGATGATGTAGGCCAGGGTCATGCAAAAGGACTTCGGCCGCTTCTAAAGGCACAGCAGGGGGCCCCGCAACAAGATGGTGTGCTTGTTGCTGTGGTGGCATAGGTGGGCCGGGCAAAGCAGCAGCATGGCGTATATGATGCTGGCCAACAGGGCCTGGGCCAAGACCCGGAGCTACCGGAGCCCCAACGCCGAGGTTAAAAATCCTGGGCACATGAGGGGGAAGGAAGTGGGGTGAGGTGGTGGAGGGTGCACCCTGGCCAAGAGGCGCCTCGCCAACAGGCTCAAACCAGTCTGCCAGTCGGGAAGCTTTAACGGCAGCTCGATGTGCGAAAGCAGCCGCTGCCTGAGCCAGAGAGGCGGATATCACAGTAGAATGAGAAGA